CTCGTACGAGAAGGAGACCGAGCGCCGCGGTAGCCGCCGCGGCCTGCCGTCTGCATACTTCACAATCATGTGGCCCGGTTCTTCATGTACGCGCGTGTCCGCCGGCAGCACCGACAACTCTTGGCGCAAACGAAGCTGTTCGTCGCACCTAAATCCAGCAGCGCTCGGACAGGGCGCGTCGCCCCGTCAACATTGAGACTGAGCACGATCAGTCTCGAGCCGCTGCCGGAGGTGGTGGCAAACAGCTGTGTATGAATCACAGGAAGGCTAGGAGGAGGTTCAATCACCAGAGAACAGTCACTCCCTTCCAATAGGGCACCCCGCATCTACTGGTTACCGCCGTTTTTTTCTTACCAGCAACGGCGGCGTCGGTCTCAACCGTGATGTTCGCCACAACAGGCGCTGGGGGCACGGTACACTGCCGCGCGTTGACAAGGCTTCTTACAGCGGACACATTTTAGCGGACGCGAGCTGCGCATCGGCGATCACGGCCGCGGGGTGGAAAGCGTTGTCCCACGGCGGTCACCGTACTGTCGGATGGGATCAATCTTCATCGGCTCCGGCTCCAGTTCTGGCGCCGGGGCCCGAGAGAAATCGATGTAGTCTTCGCGCAGAGCGTTAGGAAGGCTTCTTTAACCCAATGAACGCCGTAATCTGTATAATACGTAATATGACATGATGCAGGTTTAAATGAATCAACAGCTTGGACGCGGCGTCGTTCAGGCTACTACACCGCATATATAAGTTTGTATAGACCACCATGGGAGTTTTTATCATTACCGATCGGCGAGGGGGAGATAGAAAGGTATTATTCGAAACACATAGAAAATCCAATATAAACGGCCTAGAGGTTTGAAAATTCTAATGCAAGCCCTTTAGCTCCTCTCTGCCCAAAACCTCCACCACTCAACCAAAAATGCCGGAAACGATCGACAGGAAGGAGTTCAAGCGTCTGTGGGGGTCGCTAAAAAAGGCTGGTTGGCGGGCAAGACCCCCTTCAGGCCTCATCTCCGATCATGCGTATCTCAAGCCTGGCGTGAAAGGAAAGCTAGACAACTACAAGGCTGAAACTGATTACTTTATCGGTACGTTGTGTTTAGCAGTAATAACTACTCCCTCTAACCCTGTGTGGTGTAGGTCCCAAACCTTTGTGGAAGTATGCTCTGCGTGAGGGTCTAGTACCTTTCCCCCCTCAACAATGTATGACGGGATGCTCTACAGTTCCAACGACTGTAATGCGTAGAGCGAAGGGGGAGACAGGTTGCGGTACCGTGCCCGCAGCTTGTGGCTGATTATCACCAAGGTATGGGCGGAATAGATCGCCATGATCAACTCCGCCTTCAGCGCTATTCAATCCAGCTTACTGTGGCCTTCAAAAAGTACTATCGGCAAATCTTCATGGGTTTTGTGGACATGGCGATAGTCAACGGTTTTATTTTACATAAAATTATTCTCAAGCAAAAAGGGCTGCCAGTGCCAACACACGCGCAGTATATGCGCCGACTTCATACCGAGCTTTTGGCCACGAACGAAGCCACACTGCGTACAAACACCAACGCCGAGGACCTCGTTTCTGAGCCTATTCACACGCAACCGCACAGACTGCGAAACAATGAGGAAAAATACAAAGGCAAGAAGCGAAAAAAACCCAGAGATGGATCAACCGCCAGCAACCTCCAGCGTAAAGGGCAGAAGCGTAAGGGCAAGCGCCGCCAGCACTTGTGCAAAGTTTGCTCAGCCTTGGCAACTCCCCAGACAAAGAGCTTTGAAACCAGTTACTACTGCGAGCAGTGCACATCAAACTTCGGAGGCTACGTACCTCTATGTAACAAGGTTCGCCACGAGGAAACCGGCAACACGCTCACATGCGGCCAAATATGGCATGATTTGTGGCGCAACGGCACTGCCATCCCTACTCACCTCAAGAAGCGTATTCGCTTCCGCAAGCGAAAGAACTTCGAGATTTCGAGCGACAGCGACGACGGCGGCAGCGACGCGAATGAGGATTGCGTGGATATCCAGGATAGCGAGTAACTAGGCGTAGATAATGCAGCCCGTACACTCACCAATTTTTCGGCCAGTTCTCGCTCTTATTGGTTCTTCTACTCTTGCTAGTCTAGAACTGGCCGAAAATTTGGTGAGCGTACGGGTGACGTAGTGGCACGCTTCGCCAGTCATTTAGGCGCAAACGCAGATTGCCCAGACCCATCAGATTTAGCGGGATACTCGAAGTAGAAGGATATGCGACGAAAGTCACGTCACATTTGCCCAATGAAATCATGACATTTTACCACATTGTTGTTTTTCTACGACAGATTGCAGTCTATATGTACCTGGTCGCAGCGTTTTCGCTACATCCCCTTGCGGACGGCTTGCAATGCATTAAGTTTGCAAAAGTGGCAGCTATAGATTAATAAAGATAATCATTTACTCTGTATTATACAGAATATCGTGAAGCGGGCATTGAGTTAGGGATAGACGGGGAATTCCGTATCAAGTAGAAGCGCTGGTATCCAGCGTTCATGCCCGGGACAAAGACATGGGCTTGAGTCGCCATGTCCACAAGGTATGTCGTGATGCACGGGGTGAGGTGTCACGCGCGCTGAATGTACTCAAGCATGGTCATGCGTCTCTGTATCAGCGAGAGCAAATCCGACAGCTGAACGCGCTCGACTTGGGGCGGCTCGAGCGCAGGTCGGCCTTCATGGGCGCCATTGTTGGGGGGGAAGGGGCAGATAGCGTCGGCAACGAGCTTGCCGAGTGCTCATTCCTTCGCCTTACCCGTCAGTTTGGAAAGCAGGAAGCGCGTGCGCGCGAGCTCGGTAGACAGCTGGCGAACTTTAATCGCGATTTCCATCTCGCAAAACCAACGGTTCAAGTGGAGGTGACTGTCGTCTTCACCGCTGTAAGTCGAGACATCGAGCTTGACGATGTCGATTTTGTTCTTGGACGATGCGGGAGTCAACACTCGCTGATGAAGGTCAGCGAGCTCATGCGTCATAAATTCCTGGGCGGCCAGGCGTTGTTGAGCTTCCGTGCTGGCGGTGAGCAGAGTCTGGATGACGACTTCACCGGATGTTGCGGCGAGGCGATGGAGCCCCTCCCATTCAATCGATGAGAGATGGGGAAAGCTTCCATGCTCGATGGAAATAATGGTCGCCTTGGACGTGTCGCTCACCGACGTGTCGTTCATACTGGCGGCTGGGCGGATTACAAAGTGCTACCAGGTGAAACGGGCTAAGACTGTTACCTGCTTATACTAGCGAACTGGGAAAAGTGTAGTAAACTGAATTCTGAGTGTTAACTGCCAAGACGGTCTTGATGCTCAAGACCATCCCAACCAAAGGCTAATACGTAAAGGGTCACTGTGGTCACACGGTGGCGACCATGTGACAGAGGCCTGTCACAATGAGACAACCCGCATATACCCGCTTTCATGGTCAAGGGCTACGCTTTGATGATTGCTGCAAGAGTCGCTCAGTAGCAGCCCCAGTAGTCACCACAGTACGTCCTAATCTTTTTCAAGCATGAGCAATAGCAGCGGTGAGAAGCACATCAATGCGCTGCTTTATTACGGCTGCGGATTAAAAACGGATTAAACCCGCAAAGTTTTCATAATCGGATTAACCCTTATTGCTGCTGTCAGAAACGGAATGCTTAAAAAATTGCCTCGTTATGATTGTTTTGGGCTGCAGCCACCCACCCACCGCATATCTGTTTGCAGAATAAAAACTCTGTCGTGTCATCGCTCTCATCTAATGGAGATTCCTGATACTTCCTCCGTCCGGAAATTTAAGCGGAGCATCTGCCAGACCCTAGGGATATTTAAGCACTCTACGTCAATAGAGCATCGCACGTGCTACATGTACATCTCTACAGGTTTCTATAACATTTCGTGTAAAATTGACATCTTGGCAAAAGATTTTTTAAATTTTCACATTTACACCACGAACTTTGCATTGGTAACTTCGCGACCCAAAACAATTACCGTAATATAAACGATAATATCGGTTATTTTTATATGAATGGATTAGATAAACATAGATTACCACACATTCAGTTCCTTGGTGTTTCCACGCTGTAAGTGCCTTTTTCAATCCTGAAGCTCGGATTGTTCTTTGTCGCACAGCAAGTATAAACATACGCGTGACAGATCTCAAATTCCAAATTAATTTCCGGTCCCCGTTTCAGCACTTTTCGAGCTGTGCCTTGAAACCCTTCCACTTGGCCGCAGTACTTTTCCTGGTGTTCTTTGTAGCTTGTGAATAAAGTGGATGCAGCAGACTAGCTTTCGCTCGCAGAAGCGACACTAGTTTTTTCAAATACATTGACGGCTTCTTCCAGCCGATTCAAAGAAAATCCGCCATCCTGTCACGCTGCTCCTTTTTCTTCTCAGAAACAGATTTAAGTAGAGTATCAGCAAGGCTGCAAGTGGTAACGTTAGCTGTAGTCTAATATCCAAAATGCAACAAAAATATTGTGCATACCTCTGCCATCCAACCTGGTTGCTGTGATCTTGAAGGTTCTTGCTATACACAGTAATACTGCTCGCATAGCGTACATATCCCTTATCCAATTCATCACAAATTGGACGTTCGCAGATCCAGCGCCTCACAATTTCAACAGATTTGCGCACCTTGTCTCGATAAGCGCAGGTCGTATCCTCGGCCATCACGTGCCGCATCACATCAAGCGCTTGGACAATATGTACCACATTTCCACGTTCCTGTCGAGTCTGAGCCTTTTTAACGAGTTGTTCGAATGTCTGAAGCTGATCTTCCACTTTGGGACTGTCGGACGTCTCGTTTTGAGAAGCCACGCTAACACTTTGAGAAATAGTCATCTTGAGACTCTCCAACTCAGCTCGAGCTCTACTTCGAAGAAACGTAAAACAAGAATCAGATACGTTCCAGATTACCGACCAAAAATGGAAATGTCGTACCGGTGGAAGTAAGACCCCAGCACTTCGTTCTTGGAGCAAGCTCCGGACAATGCAGTGATCAGTGACTGCACTTCCATCGCTTGCTTGTGTGTCCACCGAATCTCTCTGAAGACCACCACAGCTCTGCCAAGCGCACGAGCTGTAACCTCAGCAGCCGGTTTATCAGTTGTACGAGCGTCTTGCCTATTGATTGGTGATCAAGAATGAGCTTGAGGTCGAACAGTGCCTTCGTCCACTGGCTACTTATCTCCAAGTCAATTCTCCTGTTGACTACTTTGATCTTCGAGATTGTGTCCAGAGCCTTATGAGCAAGAGACAGATCTGCGCTGTCCTTCTTGCCGCTCAGCGTCGGCTTTTCCGGTAGCTTCCGCTTCTTGCGTTGATCTATCTCTTCTTCATCGTCCTCATCATTGCTACTACTGGACGAGGACGAGTCACTTGAAGAATCATTATCGTTATCATCCGTCTCGTGTCTCGTTCTCTTCTCCAAATGTGTCTCCTTTTCTTTGACTTTCAAGTCTTCGGCGTTCATTCCACTCACCACCTTCTGCAACTTCTCGTTCAGCTTCTGTTGCAATTGCAATGTGCTGTTCATCGCTTCAAGGAGCGTCTCGCTGCGCCCAGTGGACGCTTTACCCTGCTCCAGTTGGCTCACAGCGTCTCGTACTTCCTCTACTTTGGTAAAGCTTGCAAAGATGTCGCTCATGGATTTTGCCAGAGAAGAGCATTCTTCTTGCAGGAGAAGGTTAGAGCTTCGGTAAAGCTCTGTGGGATCCACGAGCGACAGGATGCGCTCATACAACGCTGAGTTGTCCGTCGACGCCATGCTAGTCAACGAATGGACCCAAATTCACAGCAATTTGATTGATTTAGAAAAAATGTACAAGTACCCATTTTGGAAGGCGAATCAGAATCAGACGCATAACCTTTTCGTAACCTTCTGTTCACTTGACGTTTTGCAGGAAGGGAAGGAAGGATCTGAGTATTGAGAATGGAGTCACCGTCGCTGTCGCCACGTTCGCACCGAGAGTCGGTGGATGTGAGCACCGAGGATCTAATGCATCCGCTGGAGGCTCGTGTGTTTCATTTGTCGCAGGAGCTCACACAGACAGACCCAGACGTGCCCGCGCTCTCGGACGACGAGGTCATCACGAAGCTCAATATGTGCGTGCGGAATTCAACCCACAGCGATTGCGGAATGAGCGATTACTGATGACGTAATCGGGTTTTATAGGATTGCAGAGACACTCGAGGAAGTGGAAACTAATTTCCGCAAGGAGCGGTCGTCCCCCTACCGTCGCGATGGTAAGAATGAATGCTGTAGTCGATGTACGTGATCGAATCTCTTATGTGGGTCTTTTGGGTTTTACTGCTAGGCCACTTGATTGGTAATCTTCTGCAAGTGCTGGAACAGAACGAAGACTTCTACCCGATGGTAAGCAAAAGTTGAAGTTGCCTATTTAAGGGAGATGGGGGAACTTCAACTTACTCGCCTGTTATGTTGCTGCAGCTGGAGGGGAAACTATCGGATCTCAGCGTAAACCGCGTCAAGGCGGCAACATGCCGCCTACTGTTAGCCACGGTGCCAGTGAACAGCAGAGCGATTGTGCGTGTGCTAGACGGCGACGACGAGATGCTGGAGCGTGTGTGCGGGTTCGCTACTGACACCGACCCAGGTCTGCGCTGTTATGGGACAGGGCTACTCTCCGTGGGGTTACGGGACCGCTCAGTTGCGGACACAGTTGTGAACAACGACACACCTGTTAAGTTGCTGAAGCGAGCACGAATGTTTGCGTCAAAACTGGAAAAGGAGAGACAGCAAGCCGTCAAGTATATTCAGGACCATCTTCGTCTTGCTAGTTCTCGTCATAAAAAGACCGTAAACACTGGAGGCGGTGCAACAACCAAAGCGACTACACCACAGCGATCATTGAAGCGTAAACACTCGGACAGTATCAGTCGAGCGCCTAGTCACGGGGCTGAGCATAGCGAGAATACCGATACACTGGCGACAATGGAAGTTGAAGAAGAAGAACCGACTGCTACGATCCCAATCCAGCAATCTCTTCCACTTTCGACCAATGAAGAGGACGGAATGGGGAGTTTCGGCGAAGACGGACTCGTGATGCCTAGTCCAGAGCATCACGAAGAGGATTTCAAGCGCTTAGTGATGCTGGAGCTGTTGTATACACTGGACTGTCTTGGATCCATGGGGGAATACTTGGAGATCTTCGCTCCAGCGTTGAAAGAAGATATCATCGGGACTATTATCACGTTTCTACACAGCAAGAACCCGGCTGTGATCTCGCACACAATGACACTAACGTCGCATTTCCTAGCTCATAAGAAGTTCTCCCTCTCACTAGTCGAAGCGGGAGGTGTGGATCTGCTCTTCACTGTCTTCAAGTCGCAACAAGCAGCAGGTCAAGTGGGACTACTGGATCGTAGTTTATCCATGTGTCTGCACGGGTTTGCGTCTTCGTCTGCAGTTATCGAACGGCTGGTTGTACTAAACCCAGACAATATGCTCTCCGCTGCGTTTAAACTGCTTTCCAGTCCCAACGACCGTGCTCGACAGAATGCTGTGGTGTTTTTCAGCTTGACTCTGAGTTTCAAGGTCATTCTCGACTACTTCGAGAAGCACAACGGCTTGTACACTATCCTGAACATTATTCGCGTTGGCAATCACCCAAAGTCAGCAGCACAAAGACAACTAGCGCAAGATGCGTGTCTGTGCTTGCGTCAATATGTGCGCATGCACATGGCGCTGGTAACGCATCGCCTTCGGAGGAAATTGGCTCAGCTGAATCACCCGTCCAATCGCCAGTCCAACACGGCACCGGTGCTAACGACAGCGACCGTGGCGTCACGGATTCCAGCTCGTGTTCCGAAGATCACGTGGTCTAAAGCTATCGATCTGGACGACAAAACGCACGAACAAAACATGGTATTCTACGAGAAATATCGCTTCAGTGCTAGTAGCGGCAACTCCAACAACTCGTGGTCGGCTGCAAGTGCCCCAGGTGGAGCCATGTGGCCTCCTGCGGCCAAGTTGAACCATTTACGCGGCGTTCTTGTGCTTCTCGAGGTCGTGGCTTTAATGTGTTCCGTGATGCAGAACACAGACCCGGACGCTAACTCGACGATCCGGATATGGACTGCAGAACGCGCGCAGTTTTGTTTGGATTCGTTGCGAGTGTTGACGTTGGTGGTGCCATCTCTAGCGAACGAAGTGTGCTCGACTGAAGTGTCTGTGGAGGAGAACGGCGCGTCGAAGAAGATCGGTATGACTATCTTACTGGAGATTGCTATGAGTAGCAATGCTAGAGACTCGGAGCTGGTACGAGACGCGCTGCGTGTGTTTTGCAACTGTGTCTCGCCTCCTCACCACGAAGATTGCTGGCAACATCCTTTAAAGGACATTCGACAGTACACCTTAACAGCTAGAAGCATGAGGACCAAGAAGGATGACCAGACAGAGACAGCAGACCCGGACAACTGTTCAAACTGCTGTTCGAAGGCCAAAGACGACAAGACGTTGAGACCTGTACGGAAGCTCGCACGTGAACGCAATGCGATCAAAGTGTGCGTCTATCTGCTGCGTTACAAGCGCTCGGTTCAGAATGCCGACGCTATTCGTCTGTTATCAACACGAGCCTTACTAGGGCTTTCTCGTGACCGTCATATCTCCCAGATCCTTGAGAAAATGCAAGTCGGACAGCTATTGTCTGATATGATCCGTAGTGACCCTGTGCTGGAGGAGAACGCAGACATCCACGTACGTTTCCGAGAGTCTGCGTTGGATTTGATCTCACACGTGACACATCGAGCTTCTAATGTGGTGATTAACGAGGCTACAGACCCTACAGTGAGGAAGATTGAGAAGGCTAGTATCGTTGCGAATACCAAGATCTCGTACGACGAGAACGAGCTGCTGCGACTGATTCACGATCATTTGGTTACGAAAGGGTTACATCACGCAGCTGCTGCTCTCGTGGACGACGCGAAGATCAACGTTGAGAGCTGTAAGGAGAGCTCAGAGACACCGTCTTGTCGTGGGAATGAGACGCAGTTTAATGCTGACCAGAAGGTGTCAACGCCGCATAGGAAACAGACCGTAGTCGACCAAGAAGTCCCGTCTAGTGTCCTGAGTCGACGAGAAAGCGGCTATCTAAGTGGAGAGGAGACTCCGCGTCCCAAGAAGCTGCAGCGCGTGTCTTCTCTTGGCTCCATCGTGCCAGAACTAGGGAAGATCCAAGTTGCAGAAGGCTCTCGTGTGATAATGGCTACACCGGCCTCGCATCGCCAATCAAGGAAGCAGATGCGTCAAGCCTTTCGCAGACGTCATTTCTTCCAGGATCCAACCCCCACCCAGTCCGTGACTTCTCCTCGAGTTGTGACGGAGACTACGTGTCCAAATGCTCTCCAGAAGCTTCCGATCAACGCGCGATGGAGCGCGAACAGCGAAGCGACCTCCGTGTCCCCATCCAGTAAATTGGACGAGATCATCACGCATTTCTTGCGAGAACAACACCGTCAATGCGCCAACCCAGTGACCACTGTACCGCCGTTTAAACTGCTGGGTAAAGGCTCACGGCATCGCTGTCCAGACCCCCCAGCCACGTTGTCAAACTTGAGCATCTGTTCGCGTCTACTACGTCGCAGTCGAACAGGTTATCGTGTCGGGTCTTCTGCGTTCTCCTCGTACTATGCTGATGCAGGGATCGATCGCTATGTCTTCAGTCGCTATCGTCCGTATCGCACAGTAGGCGCACACGTCGGGTCTTTCGCATGGGGAGGCGTGAGTGTCGCTCGATTCTTCGGTTCAAACCAACAAGATATGCTGATTGGCAACCACGACGGAGAATTGCGTCAATTCAGCATTGAATCTGACGAAGTTGTGGAGGAATGGACGTGTCACTCGCCGTCAAGTGCCATTGTCAACTTAGAAACGAACGAAGCTACGTCCATGGGTCTTCAAAGTCGATTGATATTGACTGGAGCTGTGGCGCTGTCCGAACTTGCAGTGAACGAGATCGCACTCTGGGATGCGAACGATACAAGTGCGTTGGTGGAGCGCTGGCGGTTCCAAGGTGGTCTTCGTCCTCAGTTTAATCACTACGGCGACCGAATTGTCGCGCTGGATGGTCGAGAAGACGAAGGACTGGGCTTTACTGTCAAGGGGGCTGTGGTTCTCGACATTGCGACTGGAGACGTCTCGTGTGACTTGAAAGACGCAAAGAGATCGAACGATTACGGCGCCGAAACGAACTGCTGCTTCTCTCCGTGTGACGGGACGATTCTTACCGATGGCATGTTGTGGGATGCTCGGATCCCCACTCGTGCGTTGTATAAGTTCGATAAGCTGTCGAATTTCGGCTGTGGCTTCTTCCATCCAAACGGGAACGAGGTGATTGTGAACTCGGCAGTGTGGGATCTTCGTACCTATCGCTTGTTGCGTATGGTACCAGCGTTGGACAAGTGCAGCATCAAGTTTAATCCGTCGGGTAGTGTGCTGTTCGCATATTATCCGTATGCAGGGGTAAGTAATTTATCTGCGAAGTTATTACTTAAAAGAGTGAACCTGACGCTTGTGTGTGTTTTTATTATCAGGGTGACTTTCTGGAGCGTAGGAAAACCAAATTGAAGTCGTGGTTCCGCGTATTGGACGCACGCGACTACCGAGACATCACGACGATCGATCTGGGGCGTCCAGTGTTTGATTTGAGCTTAAACACGAAGAGCACGCTGCTTTCTGTGGTGGAAGGGCGCTATTTGGAAGCTGGAGACGTCGAAGACGACGACTCTATCTGTCGTCTCTATGATGTCGGGCGTAAGCGACCTGCTGAAGACGATTCCGATGCTGAGGATGGAGAGGACGAGTCCGATACACTGGATGACGACGAGTACGACGATGAAAGCTCGAGTGACGGTGAAGAAATGGAGGATGAGACGGAGGAAAGTGAAGAAGAGACGTCTGAATCCGAACAGGTGGACAGCTCAGAGGACGACGAAGGCGAGGAGAGTGAGGATGCGGCTGCACATATTCTTGCTGTTGAGGAGGACAGCGAGGAAGATGGGGATGGATCTATCCTATCGACGCATGATCTTGGCTATTTATTAGAGCTCCCTGACACCACGTACTATGAAGTGCACGGCCAGTATTCAAGCGACGAAGACGATGCTGAAGAAGAAGACTAGAGTAGAGAAGAAAAAGAGGTAAAATACGAGGGGTTGCTCAGATTCTCACCCGGTTATTTATCCAGAACAGGGGGCTGAAACGTTTCTTGGTGGCCGGACGCAGGTTATTTATTTCCGTCATGTCGACCAAGCTGGAAGTGGACGTGGAGACGCTGGGGGACAGGCCGGTGTTGTTGAAGCGCAAGGACTTTCTGGACACGGAGAAGGCAGCTCAGAGTCATCCCAATCGGACGTATTACTATCAACAATCTACAGATCTCCAGCATGTGATTGACTCGTCCACCAGCCATCTCGTGCGCGAACCGAAAGACGTCAAGGTGTTGCTGGCACGTGGCCAAGCACTCTTCAAGCAGGCCAACTACGACCAAACTATTCAAGATCTTACTGAAGTTGTGGCACTCGACAGCTCGAATGCTGCAGCGCTGTACACGCGTGGGTTGGCGTATTCAAGACTGGGCAAAGTGCAGCTAGCGATACGGGACTTTTCACGGACATTACAGATCAATCCAGAGCACGTCAACGCTGCGTATGCCCGTGCGTCGTGCTACAACTCGCAAGGGGATTTTGTACGAGCTATCGACGACTACAACTGCGCTTTACTGAAAGATAAAAAGCTCAAACTGCAACAGAAACAGCAACAGGAACTCCATCGCTCTGCAAATTTGACTCGCCAGCAGCTACAGCGACAGAAACAAGACGAAAGCGTCAGCAACACGCTGGTTTTGTCTCAACGAATGAAGAAGGCGCCGATAGTAGAAGCTGACAACAACGCAGAGAGTAAACGTCAGGAAGAAAATGCCCTAGAGCAGAGCTTGCTGAAGCTTTGTGTAGTCTCCGCGCCACCAACACGGACAGCAATCCCACGTCCGCCAGCTACAGATGAGCGGAGAAATACCGAGTCAGGGACCAACAACTTCTCTGCGCTTGACCAAGCAGAAGTCCACCATGCGAGAGGCTTTCAATACCGTCAAGAAGGCAAGTTCCAGGCTGCAGCGGATGAGTATTCACGTGCGATTCAACTAAACCCTCAGCACTTCAAAGCGTTCTTCAATCGCGGCTTCGTGTACGACAAAATACGGCGCTTTGACGCTGCTGTCGAGGACTACACGCAAGCTCTGAAGATGGATCCACACAACGCCTTTGCTCTCTACAACAGAGGCATCTCTCTCGATCGTAGTGGAGACTACCAAGGTGCACTGACAGATTTCACTCGAGCTATTGAACTGCTCCCTACAAACGCGGATTTCTACCATAACCGCGGCTTTTGTCATCGGAAACAAGGCAACTTTGAGTTGGCTATAGCGGACTATTCACGGGCGATCGAGTTCAATCCGAACCACTTTAAGTCACTGTACAATCGAGCGTACTCGTACGATAAACTTGGACGTTACCAAGAGGCTGCGCAGGACTATACCGCCGCCTTGCGAGTTGAACCGGAGAACGCCAACGCTTATCACAATCGAGGAAGTACGTATGATAAAATGAGAGATACCACGCGAGCCATCGCCGACTTTGATCGTGCGATAGCTCTACAACCTCGCTCAGTATCGAGCTACAACAGTCGCGGACTGTGTTATGATCAACTTGGACGGCACCAAGAAGCTTTGCAGGATTTTGCGCTGGCTTTGACGTTGGATCCTCGCAGTGCTGTCTTTTATCATAACCGCGGCTATTGTCTTCGAAACATGGGGCGCTTTGAAGAAGCTGTGCAAGATTACAGCTCGGCTCTTGCTCTGGAGCCTCGCAATGTCGCTGCGTATAATAACAGAGGGTACGCATTGCGTAAGCTTCGACGCTTTCAAGAAGCTGTCGCCGACTACACCACCGCGCTGACTATTGACCCACAAAACACAAGAACGCTCAGTAATCGAGCCTATTCGTTAGCGAAGATGCAACATATCGAAGAAGCCATCGCAGATTACTCCCAGATATTGACACTAGACCCTCAGAATTCATACTCGCGCCACAACCGTGCAATTCTTACGGCCAAGATGAAAGTGACATAGATGACCAAGTTACTGGATCAGATCGAATTTTTATCCTTCTCTATGTCGAGTTGCATTAGTTGTGAGGGTCCTAAAAAAAAAAGGCTTAGAACTTGAAGCCCGAGTGCATGGCAGTCACTCCGAACGTGAAGTTGGTGTAGGTCACGCGCTTGAATTCGGCGTCTTCGATCATGGATTTAAACTTCTCCTGGGGCGGGAACTGACGGATACTCTCGACCAAATACTGGTACGACGGACGGTCGTTCGCCACCTTCTCGCCCAACAGCGGGATCACGTTGAACGAGTACTACAGTAAAAAATAAGATGTAGCATCTCCATTTCAGATCTTCACATTTTATAAAAACTTACAGCGTCGTAGAATTGGCGGATCAATGGGTTGGGCACTTGACTGAACTCCATGCACATGAAGCGGCCTCCAGGCTTGAGTACACGGTAAGCTTCCTTGATAGCGCGGTCCACATGAGTTACGTTACGGATACCAAACACGATGGTGTAGACGTCAAAAGAGTTGTCCTCAAAGTCCAAATGCTCAGCGTTGCCCTCCACCCAGCGGAAGAGCGAAGGATCAACATCAGGAAGCACTTTAACTGCACGTTCCTCACCCACTTGCAGCATGGACGAGTTGATATCACACACGGTGATCTCGGAGCCTTCAGTGCCTCGAGAAGACTTCGATAATTGCTCAGCGATACGGAAGGCGATGTCACCAGTTCCTCCTGCCACATCCAGGCACTTTAATGGACCCACAGGGTGAAGAGTGTCCACAAACGAGTCCTTCCAGATGCGATGCATGCCGCCGCTCATAAAGTCGTTCATGACGTCGTATCTGGAAGCATATAGCAGCACCTTATCAATTTCAAGGGTCAAACGGAAGGTATCAAGTATGGGATTCGTACTGCTCAGCCACATTATGGAACACAGACGCCACCATGCGTTCTTTGTCTTCTTCGGGCACCTGCTGAAAACCGAAATGTGTCGTGGTCGAGTCTGAGTTGTTGCTGGATGCAGCATCAGAAGATGAGCTGGCGGCGGTGGAGAGGCTGCGCACGAAGCGGGCAGCGCGGGGCACGCGACGCAGTACGAGCGACAACGTCATGGCCATCACCCAAGAAATCTGAGGCTGAAAACTCAACAACACTTTTTTGCAATATCCACTTAGAAATCGATCCTTTTCATTTCTATCGCATAAAACACAAAAAAATGAAAAACATCGGCATGTGTAACGTTATGTTGCGTTACTGGTTTTATATGCATACCGGTATTTATTTTTTACTCCACCGCAGCACCCCATCCCAACGACGCGATCAACTTAATCTGCGCCGCCAGGTAAAGCGCTGCCGCAGTACTAATTGGCTTATCACTGCGTTGGAAATTGTCCGGGATCTTCTCGTCCACTAAAAACGACTTGGCATGGTCCATGGAAATGGATTTCGATTCGTAGTCTCCCATTCCAATCAGCAGCAAAGCAGACTCTCCGTACGCCGTCGCTTGTGCTTTCAAGGGGAAGGCGTACTCGGGGTTCTCCTGCTTGCATTGCGCCTCCCTCTCTTTTCTCACCGTCGCCATAGAGTGTTTATCCAGCTTGCCATCCTTACTTTTAGCAAGCAGCTTCTCAGCCAGCGTGCCGTTTATCTGCGCTGGGTCTCGCTTTAAGTAGGTGTCGTCGTGTACCAGCGACGCGTCGTGCTCGATGAACCCGTGGACACTCAAGTCCGCGAGTGTCAATTCAGACGGCAGCGGACGTGTGAGGCGCTCAGCCAGTCCCTCATCCACATTGAAGACGTCCATAACGGCATCGCGTATCAGCTGTGGGGTCAGATTCTTGCCGTCACGGGGCAGATATCCATGGTTTGCTAGGGAATTTAGAGCTGGACACGGACTGCGATGATTTATTGCGGAATTTGGAGGAGGAAAGCCGGAAACGTCGGCTCCCGATGGACGGAAGTAGTGGTGGTCGGATGCAGCACTTGAAGCTCGTGCAGCTCTCACGTTCTGGACGCAGCATGAGCGGGACAGCATGATCAATAATAAGCTTAGCAGCCACCGTGCTATCATGGCTGATGTTAGAAAGAAATGCCCTGCACCCACAAAAAAAATGGATACTTTGTGTAACAAACATCAAGTTGAAGTGATAACATCACTTTTCCCTGATTGGGTCGTCACTTCGACACAAAGAGACGCAATTGGACGCTGGCATCCTCTCACTTGTCAATTGTACCTGGTAGGAGTCCTAATGGGCAAGTCGTCGTCTCTGTGGGTGGTCCTGCCAACGGCCGCAGCGGCCGCTGTGCTCATCTATCTGCTCGTTCCTGATGAACGTCAACGCGTTATCCGCCGACTTCCGGCCCCGGCCTCAACGCTTCCTGTGCTAGGTAATACACTAGACCTCATGAGTCTGGAGCTACCACGACTACACGACTGGATCGCCGAGCAATGCAAGGCCTTCGGTGGCCGCACGTGGCGTCTTCAGGTGCTAGGATCTCCGCCGCTTGTGGTCGTAAGCAGCGTCGAATGTTTCGAGGACGTGCTCAAGACGCAGTTCGAGGTGTTCGACAAGGGCCATCGCATGAACGACATCTTCCGTGACGTGGCCGGCGGTGGTATCGTGGCTGTGGATGGGGCCAAGTGGGTGACCCAACGCAAGATGCTCAGCCGGCTCTTCACTATGCGAGCCTTCCGCGAGACCATCTCTCAGTGCGTGCACGACTACACTCTGGTCCTTGGCCGTTCACTCAACGAATCAGCCCGGACTGGGGTCCCTATCGACTTTGCAGACGTGATGCACCGCTTCGCATTCGATGTATTCACCGACATCTCGTTTGGCCTGCAGGCCAATTCACTGCAAGGCGGAGAACACACAGAGTTCATGGAGGCCATGGGCAAGATCGTCCACAATTTAGAAATGAGATTCCATTCTCCAGATTGGCTTTGGAAATTAAAGCGTGCACTAAAGTTCGGGAGCGAAAAAGAGCTGGCCGAAGAAGTGGCCGTCTTGGACAAGATGGTGTTCACTATGATCAATAGAAACATGGAGCGCAAGTTTAATCCGGACGCAGCGGCCAACGAATGGCCGCCACGCCCTCCACGTACCACGAAGGACGTGGTATCGCTCTTCCTGGACGCCCACGATGAGCAGAAGACGTCGGCCGAAGCGGATGACACACAACTGGACGCGAACTTCTTACGAGACATCGCTGTCGTGGTGCTCCTGGCCGGTATGGACACCACGGCGTGGTCCTTATCCTGGCTCATAGTCATGCTTAACCGTAACCCAAAAGTGGGGACTAAATTGCGTCAGGAACTACGTGACAAACTACCTCGACTATTCAGTGACCCCAGCTACGTACCCACCATGGATGACGTAGAAGGCCTCGTGTATCTAGACGCCGTACTACGTGAAAACTTAAGACTTAACCCAGTCGTGCCACTGAACGCAAAGGAAGCGAATCGTGACGCGACGCTCGTGGATGGAACTTTTGTCAAGAAAGGTACACGCGTCTACATCCCGTCCTATGCGTTAGGCCGTATGAAGAGCGTGTGGGGCCGAGACGCGGCCAAGTTCAAGCCGGAACGATGGCTCATGCAGGACCCGTGGACGGGCGAGCTCACCATCCGCCCTGTGTCGGCCTTCCAGTTCGTATCTTTCCACGCTGGCCCGCGTACGTGCTTGGGTATGCGTTTTGCTATGCTCGAGATGAAGACCGTGACGGCTTATATGCTGAGCAAATACCACTTCACGACCAAGGAAAACCCCAAGAGTTACACATACGACGTGGCTTCTGTACTTCAGATCAAGGGCCCGCTGATCGTCAAAGTCCAACGAGCTGGCTAAAACTTGTTCGATGTCCTCGTTTCCATTAATTCTGTCGAATACAGTACTACTTCGTTGAAAAGGAGGGTGGTATTAGTGTCTACTACAGTAGTATTCAACACTCTCATAAGGCCCATTACCAAGCTTTTTCATCGTGTTTGGTGTCTGTCATTGTGGAATTTCCAATCGGGTCAACACCTCAAGACGATGAAGACGTTGTCAGTTGCATTGACGTGCGGGGTGCTTGCAGTGGCTCTCAACTCGTTGTTCTTAAGCGACAATTCTTCTCAACCAACAGCTCAGCCATCTCTAACTACAGGACAGCACGAATACTTTCGCCCTCATGATGACCAGGTCTATGGACTCCCAGGCAACAATTCGTCCACCTACTTCCGCAGTCCATGTCCAGCCCTCAATACCCTGGCGAACCACGGCCACATCCCACGAGACGGGAAGAGCCTGACCCCTACTGTTCTAGGTGACGGCATCGTGAAAGTCTACAACTTCGACAAGAAACTACTCGACGTCATCTTTCTCGCTCTACCGTCAAAATTTACACTCGCCGACCTTGGAGACCCCAATTTCATTGATCATGATGCGTCGTTAGTTCATGATGACTCGTTCTTCCAGGTGGAGCCGTTTAAAGTCAACAAGACTCTGGTGGACGAGCTGTTATCAAGTGCTGAAGACATTGGGGGGCATAGTAATCGGGTACTTACTAAGAACACGGTGGCTCGCTTCCGTCGCCATCGAGAGACCGAGTGTGCTCGGACAAACCCCGAGTTTAGTATGAGTGCGTTGGCCAGCTTCGTGGCCAACGGTGAAGCTTCTTTTGTCTTGCAAGGCTTGGGTGACTACTCTAGTGCGACCATCTCGGTGGACCACGCACGATCTTTCTTGGTGGACGAACGGATCCCTACAGACTTTCGTCCATCCAAGACACCGATAACCATCACAAGTGTGCTTCTAGCTATTGCAGAGCTCCAAATTCGAGCTTGACTGGGATGAGTATACATACCGTACATAGCAAACTGATCTGGATTGAGAATATCCAGCGCTGGACCACCAGAAGGTACCTTTGTTGCTATGTAACATGTACCTCTTATCATATCTCACTGCGTAGTGAAGGTCATTCAACCCAACACAAATATATATTCTAATCGTTCAGTTCAAACCAGAATTTGCATCATAATGGCCAAACGATTCGTCAATCCTGCCTTCATTATCATGGTATCCGTTCCAATCGCTATGGTGCTCAACGTTTTGATCGCTATGAACAAGCCTTCGCCAGTTGTACACCAATCTGTGGACCTCATCTTCGACCACGTGTATTATCGACCATGGGGTGGTGAAGTCTCCGGCTTCAAGGACAGCACGGCCAAGTATCATCGGAGTCCGTGCCCGGCACTCAACGTCTTAGCAAATCACGGATTCCTGCCCCGTGATGGCAAAGAGATCACCCCGGCTTTAGTCCGATAAGCCCTTGTCCAAGTATACAACCTCGACAGCTCGCTATCGGAGTTCCTTGTGAGTAAATTACCAGCCGAGTTCTCGCTGGCAGATCTGGGGGAACACAATGTCGTCGAGCATGACGCCTCCCTCGTCCACGATGACTCGTGGAAAGGACAAGATCCGTCATCCGTGAGCGCCACACTGGCCACCAACCTGCTGTCTCGCGGTAATAAAGACCGTCAACTAACCAGAACTACACTGGCTAGATATCGGTTTGAGCGAGAGGCCGACAGTGCTGCCTATACTCCAGAATTCAAGGAGACATTCACCACCGAGCGAGCTCTGACTGCGTACGCTGAGGCGGTGGTAATGCTTCTGGTAATGGGAGAGCAGTCAACCAGCATATCGGTAGAGCACGCCCGTGCGGTTTTAGTCGAAGAACGACTCCCAGACGACTACAAGAAACCAAGTGAACCAGTTACAATGACGCAGTCTCTTTGGGTCGCACTACAGCTTGAAACACTCGCCCTACTTAACCTACTTGTAGCCGATTTGGGGTTCTCTACCATACTTACCTAGAGATAAGAGAGCTGATAACGCGTAGGCACGAAGGTAGGAAGAGATGTCAAGTTAAGTAGCTGGAGCTGGGAGTCAAAGGCAAATGCAGGAACGAATTTATTTTTCGTTTGGAGTCTGGAAGGAAGTAAGAAAACCTTCAGCACTGCCATAAGACACATAGCGAAGCTAGAGAGCCCTACATAGTCCTTGATCGACCACGAGACTGCAGACAAGAGAACACCTGATCATAACTCCTCCAAGTCTTCGGCTACGTCCAATACAAATCCAAGTTGAAGTCCTCTTCTCGTGCCCATTTAGGAGTGAAATGTGTATGTAGCCATCAGTCGCTAAAGTATGAATAATTCGGCTATCTCGGAGTAGCCCACAAACACTTGCATCTGACTCAGCGACGCAACTTCTGGTCTCGAGTTCAAAGCAAACTTTTTGCACGATTTTTTATTCGGACAAATCACAATGAAGATCGGTGGTTCGGAGTTGTCCGCGTGGAAAATCTTATTAATTTCCATGATGCTAGCTCTGCTGATGTCATGCTGTTTTGCGGCAGGGATTTGAAGATATGCCACCTTCTCCTTGCCGGACGCAGTTGACCTCAGCTTCACAATGCTATCAATGTTGGGGAAATTGGCGCACGAAGGGAACCAATACGTGAGCTCGTCATTGCCTCGCCATTCTTCCAGATAGGTTTTGTAATTGTCAGAAGTTCCCCAACGAACAGCACGACCTACTCGAGGAGACACCAGTTGGAGATCAAAGTGTCGAGATTCATCTGGTTTATACTCGGACACTTTGAGCGTCAATTGATTGTCAGCCGCAAGACGGAAGATACATATCTCCAAAGCGCATCCAGCAAGGGATCCAAGCTCCGTCGCTCGTGCCCAGTTATAAATGAGAAAGAGTGCGTCCAAGGGAAGTCTCAACGCCAGCATACGCACAGCATATTCCGAGTCCACCATGTTTTGCCAATGTCCTGATGCTGTAAAGTGTGTCCAACTCGTCACATCGTCGATAAATGTGTGGCACAAGTCGTCCATGTTTGCGAAGTGATTGACATCCGTCACGCTGCGTAGTGCAAAACAAATCCTTGTTTGTAAAAAGTCGATGGTAGGGAGAGTAAACATGCGCACGCTTCCACCAGAATAGTAATAGCGATCTTCCATCTCCCCGGCGTCATAATGGTAAACTTGCTCTCCCAGTTTGAAAAGGTCTTGCTTTTTCCCAGCACGGAAACATGCAGAGGTACGCTTCAGTAATCTCTCCATTTTTCAATCTCACATTTTCCGAGGTCGCTAACATGTTGTACGTCTGATAGCCTTCTGGAATCATTCCGTGCTGAAATCCATCCAAAAGCAGCCATATATTCGAAGTACCGTGCTGTCCCCGTAGCACTTGGTAGATACGTTTGGCTTCCGAAACTTTGCACGAAAGTACTGAAAAATAAACGATCTTGTCACCTTGGTATCCCAGATACAACAGGCAGTTCTCTTGTTTAAATAAGGTCAATCGTCGGTACACCAGCACATTTTTCTTGTGCTTAAAAACGAGAAAAAAGGCCAACAGACACAACAATATCGACTTGCCGGTCCCTGGCGAGCCCCTCACAATACTCTTCTTGTTTGCATACATATTGAAGTTAGAGGGAGACGACACACGAAACCAGCCATTCACCAGCACCGACACGACTTGCTTTTCTTCGATTCGCCAAAAGATTTCCCCACTGTTAGTACAACCGCCCAAGCCGCTCATGAATTTCCAGAGCAGAGGAATCTTGTGCACAACACCAACGTCCCATTCTGGGATCGACAAACACTCCTCAGCGTAGGAATCCGGGTCATTCAGGGCAGTGGTCGTTGGAAGAGGCTCTGCGAAAGCCTCTGCTGGCAGCTTCACCAACACGTGAATCTCGCCCTCATGGGGTTGGAAACCCGGTTTAAAGTACTTGTCGTTATTAATATATAGCAAAGGACCCATTTTCTCGAATCCTTGAGGGTGTCCACGGTCGTCGAGTGCCACAGCAGCCGCACTGGCCCCGTCCAGCCAAGTTCCGTCTTTGTTCTTCATCAGGAAGAGCTGCAGTTTGTCAGCTTCACCATTGAGAGAAGCGAGCTCCTCCCCCTTAATCTCCCTCTTCAGGGAAGCTACCGTCTTCCACTCTTTAATGATGATAGAGATTTTGGTCCTTTCTCCAACGATTGCGCAAGAAAGCTTCACCATCTTTCCTGTAGCCTGCAAATTCTGGAGTAAGAAAAAAGAGAGAGTGTGTTGTGCCAAGCCAACTTGATGGATGGCTGGCGTTTGTAGGAAAGTTAGGACTTTCCAGACGAAAGCAAACAGAAGCTCTTATTATAAGAATACTATGCGTTTCAACGTATTTAATCCACTGGATCAACATGGGGTTATCGTTCGAGGTTTATCTTATAAGTGTGTAATCTTGAAAACCTTCTCTGGACGTTTTCGAGACTTCAGCCACGCCTCACTCCTTAGAGCATCTCCACCCGTGGGGCTCTATATCTATATAGCGACTGAAGAGCTCAAATTGATAACTACTGGGGGTTCACCAGGCGTCTCTATCGCCAATTTTTTAGCTACCCGGGGGTTTCGGTCGCTATTTCGGACGCCATAGCGACTGAAATCTATAGGAGGTTGGATCACTTGCAAACGAACAATGCCTCGAGGAAAAGCTTGGTCGGACAAGGAAGACGCCGCCCTGTGCGCGGCGTGGTGCGCTACCCAATCGCAGGGGCCGATCAGAGGGCGGACAACCTTTGGACGCTAATCTTGCAGTCATACTGTACGATAGTACCAGGATGCTTGTGCGGCGATACTTCGCCGCACAAGCATCTCATTAGCCGCAGTGAAGTCTCTGTCGACATTTGCAGCCTTGCCGGGCTGTGAACCGCCGTGTTTTCTCTTTTTCGGTGCGCGAGGGGTCAAAAGTAGCGAGCAGACGTACGCCTCTTCCTCGTCGTCAAGAGCTTCTCGCAGAAGACGATTTCTCCACATAGCGACAGATTGGTGAGTGATGCCTCTCGGTGTCTATCGCTAAAAACATTCCGGCCAATCGGAAGGCAACGAGTCTATAGATATAGCGACACACCGGTGGAGATGCTCTTAGTGTGAAATTCTCGGTGGTACATGTATCCAAAAGCAACATTTCCATTCTCCCTTCAAAATTCTTCATTTTCGGTTGTGTGTGAAGCGATCGCAGCACATTCATCAGCTCTTCGTCCGATTTCGTTTCCCTTAGCAACTTAAGTAGCTGGTTATCGCTAAAAACAGCGTCTCCACCACACATAGTCGAGTCACTAAGTGAGCTCTTCGCTGTTGCAGAGATCCTGACCAGCTTATACGACAGGTAATTTTCTAAATAATCTTGCCGGATTCAAATTTGTCTTCAAGACCAATTTGTAAGTTAGACCGTCAAGCATTTGCAGTAAAAGATTCTTGACTCTCTCTTCGTTGGTCTTGACTTTGACATTGGGATTGTCCTTCCTAGGTGCGGTTAAGAAACTATTGGGAGGATTGATGCTATTTTCGTTGAGACGCTCCGCTCTCATATCGAACGAGATTACTCGCAGCCAGAAAGGTAAAATGAACAAAGCTAAGCAAGTTGCGCAGCGAGTCACCAGACATGTGATTGTAGGGCCTGTAGCTTCCTACTGTAGGAGCTTCCTACAGTAGGAAGCTCCGTACCGTATTTGGTACTACTGCTACATGTAGCCATGAGTGCGTAGACAAATCAGTTATTTGAAATAACTAACGTGATTTAGACATGGAGCATCGCGTTGCTGCGACCATCTGGAACACTTGTATTTATAACCTAAATCTAGATACAGATGATCCTCTCTTTTACGGTATTCCATTTAGTGATATAGTGAAATACCCTCTAACGCCCGTTACAGTTGTGCACCTCCAATTCGACAGGCCGGACCATATCAATAGTGCCAGGGCATAAGTGCACAACGTAAAGCAAAAAACAAACGTAAATCCAGTGCACTGATATTTCCTTTGTTAATTCAGTACAACATTTACGCCAATCTTCTGCATAATCTTGGCGTCAGACGCGCGAATCGCGGGCGCGCAACAGCGCTTCCGGTCGCGATAGGTATCCGGCAAGGCGGCAACGTCCGCCGACCGCTTAAGAATACTCTGGACGGTAGTGCGCTTTACTGCTCGGGGGGTCTTAAAGCGCTCCGTTGCCCAACGAGCAAGTTCGGAGTGAGAGCATGCAGGATCTGACTTGTGCTTCTCGCACAAAGACTGCTTTTGTGGGACATGTAGAAGGAAGGGCGATGTCCCATTGTCTTTGGCGGTAAAAATCAAAGTGTGTGTTTGGATGAAGACGTCCGATCCAAAATTTAAAATCAGATCGATGCGGCGTGTCATCCCTCCGCGAGGAGGGGAAAACCGTTGAGGTTAATTGCTAGGGTGGTGATGGGCAAAGGTAATTGCGCATCCGATTCGCGTAATCATAAAATCTGGCAGGGTATCGACTGATACCGGTGTCGAATTGGAGGTGCACGACTGTATTAGCGAAAACTTGCTCTTTATCCTTATTAATACAGTACTGCACCCCCGTTTTCGCGCCCTTGGACCTTTGATAAACTTCCGGATGTGGTGATCCTGAATCCAAAAAAACTATTGAAAATACGCTAAACTCTGATTTATTTTTAAATCCTATATGGTCCACCCCCGCAAAAACGGGGTGCAGTACTGTACCCCAAGGCGACCTGAGTAGCATGATATATTGCTATATCTGATATATCAGCTGTCCAACATTATATTTAAGACGATTTTTACTGAATACCGTAGTAAGCCGACTCTGTAGTTTGTACGTAGCAAATGGCATTCCGTCATCCTTAAAACGTTTGTTTACCCAATACCGTAAATCACGCTCGGTTATCCATAAAAAACTTCTGCTTGCCGGTAGTGATTCTTGACATTTGATCAGTCTCAAATTCACAATCGACCATCGACAACAGTAGTACACCATGCTCAAGACC